TGCCGAGAAGCGAGCTGGGCTGTCGCTTTTACAACACCTCCCTCTCCGGACACGTTTATTCTGTGCCACGTGGGGTTTGTTTGATTTTATTTATTTTAAATAAATCAGCGTTAATAACGCCAGGTTGTGCTTCCCATCCATATTCCTCTCTTTTCTTTCCAGCCCCTCTCTTAGGTGACCTCAGGCTGGCAGCCTGGTGACGAGGTGGAGGTAGCGCAGCGAGGTTGGGCCGTGGTAAAGGACACGTTGCAGCAGCTCCTGCTTAGAGGGCTTGGTCCTAAGTGCCAAAAAAGATGCTCCTGGTGCAAAACACAGTAACCTCGGTCAGTCTGCGACTTCCCCACGTGGGCCTGGACTCATGGATGTGCTGCTGAGGATGGATCCAAAGCCAAGTGGGTGCTGCTCAATGATTTAGTGTGCGCCGTGAGCCACCGCTGCAGCTCTCTGTGTGCACGGGGAGCTTGCTCCTGGAGCTCCTGCGAGATAAGGATGATAAGAAAACACTGATAGCCAGCGTTTTCTGCAAGATGCAGGTAGTAGGGTGATGGATCCAACCCATACTTCAGTGTTTCACTCTTTGGAAGACTAAAACAAGCATAAAGCAGCTTAAAAATTGTGGGTAGATGGCACAGGGCTCCCGTTGATGGGGTGTTCTCATTCTGCACACCCAGATCTGCGGGGTGACCCAGGTTTTTTCCCAGTTTTTCTGCCGTGCAGCACTCAGAGGCCAAGGGACCCGTCCGTTGTGTCCGTGCAGAGCGTGGCCCTTCGTCGGGAGAGCTGGGCGCTTCCAGCCCTCATCTCTGCCTCCACATCCCCATAAGTGTGTCTAGTACCAAAACAGCAGCACTTTTTCCTTTTCCATTTGAGAATCTGTAGTTTTATTCCCATGGGAAAGCGGAGAGCCAGGGGGAGGTGGCCTGTGGCCACCCCTTGAAGCGCTCCCGATTACGCCAAGGTCCGCTGATTAAAGCTTTTGCTCATTAACTTCATTTTCCCCGCTCCGCTGGCATCCAAGCGGTGCACGTGGTGCAGCGAGCGGCGTTTCCAGCCCTGCTCAGGGGTGTTCGTGGCCCCCCCTGAGGTTGCCACAGGTCTTGGGGGATGTGGGATCACTCTGGGACCTTGTCCTCATCCGGGAACGCCCCTGTGCTCGTTACCCACGTGCTAATGAGATGGGCTTCGGTGTCCAGCCACACAGAGGCAGGAATAAACAGTGCTGGTGAACCCCAGAGCTTGCAGCATGCAACCAGGGGAGTTTTTACATCTCCAGTGCCCATTTTCTGGGTTTAGACTTGCAAGTGAGTGGATTTAGTAGGATTATGGCTTTATTTTCCACTCTTCTGTCTGATCACACGTTGGCCGTGACCTGCTCCGGCACCAAATGGTGGCGAGGCCGCGGGGAGGTGGCGCTGCCCTTCGTGCCCTCCTCCCACCTCTTCCCCAAACGTGTTTTACACCAAAATGCATCGTTCTGAGCCTTTTGGCCAGTGTTGATGTGGAACCTGTAATCTGGATGTCAGAATATCCCAACCAGATATTCTGGGGCTCCGAGTGGCTGCAGCCGCTCTCGCTTTGGCAATCCTAAAACCCCTGTGCTTTTAGGATTTTTTCTGCAAGCACATTTCTCTCCAGTAGAGCAGTGATTTTTGCTTCCATCCAGCTTCTGCGGCTTCTTGCTCCCCGGTATTTTCCACCTTATCAACGTCATCTTCACTTCTCCTCTAGCAACTTCCAGATTTTTTGCAGTACCAGGAGGTCCCCGCGTCTCGTGCCTGCCGACGATCCTCCGAACACGCCTGTTCCTCTCTGGAGGAGAAATAAATGTAATAAAGGGAGTAAAAGTTAATCTTTTCCAGGAGCCAAAGCCCTGCTTGGCTTCTCAGCCTTCCTCACCCAGGAAATGGCACGTTTTTCTATTTTTTGTACGGACAGAGCCGGCCGGGAGCAGTGTCTTGGATGAAAACTGATGGCAGATGAGGAGCCTCGTGTGGAGCCACCGGCTGCAGGAGGTTTGGGAGCAGTTTGCCTTGGAATTGCTGTCAGCTCAGGAGCACGGTGATGGTTTGAAATCCTTGAGAGCTTCAATACGTGGAGAAAACACAAGGCCAGCGCAGCCAAAGGTGCTGAGAGGACGCCCCTTCCTGCTGGAGGATCCCCCCGGCTTAAAAACCCCAATATTCAGGGAGTGCTTAGGAGATGTCTCAGTTCCTCCAGCTCCTCGGCTGCTCGCAGTGCCCGAGAGGTGATCTTTTGGGATCTATTTCTGGCAGGGGTGATCCTGTAAGTCAGGAATGGCAGGAATTCATGCGGCTGCCTCCTGCTGGAACCGGGTCGGGGCTTCCAGCAGAAGCCTTCGCCTCCTGGGGTGCTTGAAGTGGGGAAATTAATTTTTGTAAGAGGATAAAATCCTCTTTTTTTTAAGGTAGAAACGTGATACCTAAGCTGTTAATCTGATTTAGCTTTTGGTTGGCCCCCAAAGTGGTCGGGCCGTTGGCCTCGATGAGTTTTTGGGTCCCTTCCAACTCAATCATCGCATTCCCACCGTGACTCCAGGAGCTGCACGTGCCTTCAAAGGTAATTCTTGCTGTAAAACGCCCTCTACTTTCTGCAAACACCATCTCTGGAGGTCCCTTCCAACCCCTACAATTCTCTGATTCTTCCTGCCTGCCATAATTTTGGGCTGGCTCGCTGCAAAGATGACCAAGGAACAGTCACGGGACGGCTGCACCAAGCCCGGTGCTTCCCGGGCATGAAAATTTATCATTTTATTCAGCACTGAAGGCCCAAATCTGTCTTTTTTCTGCAGGCTCTTGCTCCCCCTCGTGTCTGCGTGGGGCTCGTGCAGCCCACGGGCTGGTGTTAAGCTCTCTGGGGGGGGTTAAGGACCTGGGGGTGCCCATCTCTGGGGGTCTTGAGGCTGGGCTGAATGGGGCTGGGGGCAGCCGGGGCTGGGGCAGGGGTCTTCAAAAATAACCCACCACGTTTTTCTGATGTTGTTGGAAGGGACAAGTGTCAATCCACTGCAGGAGGAGGTTTCTGCAAAAAGCTGCCCCAAATAGCGAGCTTTGCACAGAAAGTGAAGTTTTTAAAGCGTGTTTATAGCAGATTTTGGGTAAAACAGGAGGTGCTGGTGTGGTCGGAGGAGCTGCCAGCCCCATCTCCGCTTCTCCCTGGTTGCTCTGTTGGTGGAAACGTGCTGGAAGCATCCCGAAAAAAAGGCTCAGGAAATGGGATAGAAAAAGTTTCTTCTTCCCCAGCTGTTGAACCCTTACGGCGTGGAGCAGAGGGCTCCCAGCTCCTCGAAGCAGGAGCTTGAGATCTGCCGAGGAGCTCAGCAGAGGGAGCTGCAGAGGCTCTGTCCCTGCTTTTCCTGGGACTGGGAAAATCCCTTCCTCACCGGATTGATTTTCCATCCGTCCCACTATCTGGTGTCGTGGTGCTCAGCTCAAACTCATCGTGGGGTCGTAGCTGCAGAAATGAGCTGGATTTGGGCAATCCCGGAGCAGAAATGAGGCCCCGAGCGAGCTTCGGGCTGGGCAGAAGGAAAGGGCTCTGCTGGGAGAAGATTTGGGCACCGGAGCCCCCAGGAGCAGCTGGAAGAGCTCAAACTGATGGAGAAGAAGTGGGACGGCAGCACCCACACCTCTGCTTTCCAGGTGCCGGCTCACCTTCACCTCGGTGGACAAGTTGGGGCGGAAAAGATGCTAAAAAATGCAGAAACGGGCTTTTTTTTTTAATTTTTCTGACGGAAAGAATTCCCAAAGCTGCGAGACATGTAGTGGCATCGCTCCAAAAAGCAAGCAGTGCCTGGGAGGCAAAAGCTGCGGGTCTGCAGCCTCGAGGGTCCCCCGAGGGTCTGCACGGGGTATTTTGGGATGTGATGCTCCAAAAGGATGCCATTTGGTGTCAGCGTTTGTTGGTGCCGGTGCGGATGGATGCTTTTGTGGCTGGTTTGGAGCTGCTGTGCGCAGGGGGCACGGAGGGAAGTCCTGCAGCAGGTTCCCAGTCTCGACTGATTTGCCTTTTACTGTGGTTTTCTCAGGACGAGGTGGAAATGAACATCTTAAATAACAATTAGCCTAAGCTGCCAAATGCTCATCCTCGTTAAGGTCGTTATCTCAAGCCGGCTGTTGCGCTCTCGTCTCCGCGCTCTCCCCGAGGTCCTACCACAGCTCACCTCGCGTGTTAGCCAGGAATTAAAAACCTCATTATCCTCCGGGGATTTCTCAGCGACGCCGAACAAATGCGCACCCACAAAAGCAGTCGGGGAACCCACAAAAGCCTCCAGGGGCCAGCTGTAGCTCGAATTTCCCAAAAAACGGGGCCAAAAGAAGGGAAATCAGCACCCGTCGGAGCAGCCAGGGGTACGAGGCGAGAAGAGCGAGCGCCCCGCGTGTCTCCTGCTGGGGCAGGAGCTGTTCACCATCTCGGACTGCCTGGTGGTGCCAGAAAGCCTCAGCTACCCCGTTTTTGCCCAAATAACCTTGAAACGGTACTGAAATAACATTTCAGGTGCTGTTGTTTTCTCCCCTTGTTCCTTAAAAAAAATAATAATCCGTGGATAAGAATAAATTGAAGACACCAGCGCTGCAAAAACGCTGCGCTCGCAAAATGAAAACGCAAAGAGAATTTACAAGGGTGTTCCTCTTGCAGTGCAAAACCATCTTTGGCCCAGCCCTTGAGGTTCTCCAAAAAAATCATTTTGGGGGCATTTTCGGGGGCAAAACATTTGGGTTTAGGCTCCAACCACGCAGCAAAACCATTGCTCGACCCCTCCAGGGCGACGCCGGGCGGGCTGCGGCCGTAATCCCACCCCCCTTGGTTTAGTTACCCATTAGTTAATTTTGTTCTAATGAGGTTCTGCTCCCGTAATCGGGGGGAAAATCGGGAGGTGGAGGGGGGAGAACCTGAGTTAAAAGGAGCCTAATTAGCAAGTTAATTATAGCAAGCGTGGCAATGGCCCGGTTACATAAACGGGCTATTGTTATGCACGCACCGGGCACGATAAAACTGCTCGGGTGCGTAGGGCAGCAGCAGGGACGGGACGCGGGGAGCAGAACCCCGTAGGTCTCGGGGTTCCCCAAGGGGAGCAGTGCCCCCTGAGGTCTTGGGGTTCCCTAAAGGACACCCAAAAACCACCTCCCTCCCTCCTTCTGCCTCCCCCCGGAGCTGGAAGCGGAGCAGGCGGTGGCCGCGCCATGCTGAGCAAGAAGAAGTTCAATGTCAATGGGGACCCGGGGATGAAAGCCCAGGTGAGGGCAGGCTCTAGGTACCGTAAGGCTGTCTTCTTGCTTAAAAAATCCTCTTTTCCTCTTCGTTGCTTTCTCCCCTCTTGCTGTTCCCCCAAATCACCTCTTTCTGGAGCTGCCCGTGCCCCTTGCTGGCTGCGGGAGAGCCTCGGCTCCGGGGAGCTGCCCCGCGTGCTCCGGAGCCACACGTGTCGTGCTGGGGATGCTCCTCGGGGCTAGGAAAAGCCCGGGTGGAAGCAAAATATCCCACACCTGGACGTGGGGCACCCGCAGAAGCCGTTCTCCCTCCTGGTTTGGGATCCTGGGTGTCTGGGCTCAAATTGCAGCGGGCGGAAAGCCGCCGTGTTTGTGCGCGCACAGCGGGTCGGCCGCCTGACCCCAAGCTGCAGCTTTCCAAGGCTCTGTAATCTCTCCTCTTGAGCGTTAACCTGTGTGTGGCTGCTGTTACCATCGGGGGAAGGTTTTTAGGGGCTGGGAAAGTCCCACCTGAACCCGAGCCGCTCTGCGTGTCCCGGTCCCTGCTGCTTGGGAAGGGAGCGCGGCAACACGGCGCGGCGCTGGTTGCACCGTGCACTTTGGAAGAGATTTAAACAAGGTTTGGGGTCCCTCAGAAGAGATTTAAACAAGGTTTGGGGTGCATCATTTCCTGCTGTCCTTCTGGCTGGACTGAGCCTGAAATTGCAGCCCAAAAATGAATGTGGTGGTGATGTGGGGACCTCTTAGGGGCGCATCGCTGCCAGCGCTCGGTGCCGCTCACACGTGCACGCCCAGCGCTGGGTGTGACGGCTGTCCTGGCTCAAATCCCAGCACAAAAACGTTAAAAAATCAGTGAGGGGTTGGGGCAGCGAGCAGCAGCCCCTGGAGATGCCCCCCAGGAGCCAGCAGCAGATCCCCCTGTCGGGCTTTGAACGCTTGCAGGGGTAACGCAAAGCCCGAGGTTGTGCCCAGCTCGGTGCACGGCTGATTTGGGGTTTTGCCTGCCGGCCATGCGAGTGCTTCAGGAGGTCTGACTGCATCGCTCCAAACAGTTGCATCGAATGTCCTTGAGCAGATGATGCGGGGAAGGAAAATATTAACAGAGCTCCTGGGGTCTGTGATAGGAATTTTTCACCCCGTTAGGTTTCGAGCGTATCCCGCTTCGCCGGGAGCACCGTTCCGCGCCGATGGCCCGATGCTTTGATGAGGTGGTTTGGCTGTCAAGGGATTTTTTTTTTAAGGAAAGAAATAAAACATTATTTCAGGCCAACAACTTGTTAGAAAAGGAAGATGAAAACCAGCATGTGTGTGCCCTGTCCCCCAGCACCCTTTTTCCTCGTTTCCTGGCCCAAAAAGCGAGGCACAGGGGCTGTAACAGCCCAGTGCGCGGGCAGAGTGCCGCTGCTTCAACTGCGGGGCTTGACTTTGGGTTCCCAGACAGGGGTCGCATTCCTTAGGGCCTGATGGCTTCTTTAACCAAAACCAACTCCCCGAAACACCCCGGGGCTTGGCTAAAGGACCCAACTAATAGCTTTCAGCATTTTGGAGATGTAAATATTTAATCCCGTCACACCAGACTGGCTCATTTCTTTTGCCCCGAGCGAAGTCCGAGGAGTTTTGCAGCTGGAAGTCACGTTTCCAATTCCGGCTGCGATTTCGCCCAGCCCAAAGCCCACACGGGGAGTGTGGTTGGCTTCCAAAATACATCCCCAGACCCTGGGGCTCAGCTGTGTCCCCACGGGTGCTGCTCACATCAGCTCCTTGGTGGCACCGGGTGCGCGCTCAGCCCGTGCTGCTCCACGTTTGGGGCACCGGAGGCACTCGGTCACATCCTCCCCACTGCACCTTTCCCCAGATATCCACTCCTAAATGCTTCTTGTTGTAGAGTGCAACTGGGGGGGGGTCATTTTTGGGGTGTTTTTGGTTTTGTCCCATGTATTTTGCACAGCAAACTTGTACCGATCGCTACAAGAGAGGTGGCGAGCGGGGTCGGTGCCAGTCCTGCAGGTGCTGGATGCCCCCTGCGAGCATTTTGGTACTTGGTCTGGGTGTACTGGGGATGGAAACCTTCCAGTATGGGTTTGGAAAGGCTCAAGGAGGCGATTTAAGTGTCACTGAGATTAAACACAACCAAGGCAACGTGCCCTCTGCCCCCAAATACCCGCACTTGTAGGCCACCCGTAGCCGAGAAGGTGCCACCTCGAGGCTCGGGGTGCTCCTCATCCTCTTGTCTCAGCCCCTTGGCTTTTTCCCTCGGACTTACCCGGCCCTTTTTCTTTTCACAGATCCAGTTTGCCGACCAAAAGCAGGAATTCAACAAGCGCCCGACGAAGATCGGCCGCCGCTCGCTGTCCCGCTCCATCTCGCAGTCGTCGACCGACAGCTACAGCTCAGGTGGGTGCCACCTCCCACCAGCATCACAGGAGGTGCCCGCAGCAGCCCCACGACCCCCAGCTCCCCCTTGTAGTCGTTGCTTTTTTTCCAAAATCAAAAATTAAGAAAATCGAGTCGGAACCTCGCTTTGGCTGGGTTAATTTTTGTCTCCCCGTGCAGGGACGCGCGGCTCTGCTCCCCGCTGCGTGCTCCTTTGAAATTGGCACGGCAAAATCATGCTTTCTCCTTCAGAGGTGCTCGAGTTGTTTTTCTTGGAGCACGTTTTGCTGAAGGTTAATTACCGGAGCAGTTTATGGAGGCTTCTTAAACCCAGCAAGAGTTGGAGCCCCCCAAAAACCAGACCAACTTTGTTGAGTGCCCATTCGCATTCAGTATTTAGAGCTGGTGCCAAAAAGGCAGCACAACTGAAAACAAATTGGAACTGCTGCAGGAGGGGTCGGGACAGCTACAGAAGGGATTGGGATCCAATTCCCCATCCCCCAGGGGGCTGTACTGCCTCTGATCCCCTCCTGCTCCCAGCCCCTGGCTCGTACCACAGCAGATACCGAAGCAACCAGGTCTGGAAAGAGTGAAAATACAAGCACGTTGAAACCAGCAGAAGGAGGTGGTGCTCTCCTGGTCCCTCTGCAATTTTCAGGCTTTTTTGGTGAAAAATCACCATCCCACCGGCATGGCAGCACGCGCTCTCGGCCCTTGCAGAGCTCTGGCTCTGCGCCGTGGGGAATGAGGAGGGTTCGTGGGGAGGCTCCAGCACAATCCCTCGTTTTCATTCCCTCTGTTCGGGCAGGGAGCCTCCTGCCTGGCTGCTGCAGAAAGATTTTGGGCACGGGAGGACAGCCAAAGGCACGAGGTTGAACCAGAGCAGGCGTGAGCCTCTCTCCATCCCCCCCCAACTCCAGTTGAGCTCCTACTCAACTCCAGTGCTCAGCTCCAGGAGATGCAGCTCTGATCTCACCCCAGGCACACCAGGACTCTCCTTTTTGCCTCCTTTCCCAGCTCGTGGGTCGCGTCCTCTCCGTGCTGCCCCGAGGAGCCCCCTCGGGGGGGAATTTCGCCTTCCCCTCTGCTTTGCGTTAATGATTAGACTGCCCTAACACGGCTCTGCGATCACTATAATGTTTGTACGGGTTTTACAACCCCATTTGATGTCTAATCAGCAGGGTATACTCGACGTGACTCATTTTTAAGGACTAAGAGGCTAATTAACCTGGCTAATGTTTCACGCTTGCGCCCGATTCGCAGCTGGAAGAACGGGGAGCACCTTCGGGGAATTCTCCTCCACCCCTTGCACCGAGCGCTTCCAGCCAAAAGCATCAGCACCAGCAATTAGTTAATGGGTGAAAGCATCATATTTTCCTCCTAACGAAAGCTGCTGGGCTGGCAGCTGAGAGGGGAGATTTCTGTTCCCAGGACAGCTGCAGGATGGACAGGAAAATCCCACCCGTGTCTCTCTCTGAGCAGCAGCACCGAGCGGGGTGCTCCAGGGATGGGTAAGGGCTGGAAACAAGATGTGCGGGGAGCAGAGAGAGCAGATGAGGTCCGAAGGTTTGGAAATCCTTTTTTTTGGAGGGCTCAGTGTTTGAAGCCTCTGTGCCTGCTGTGGTGGCCACGTGGGAAGAAAACAGCATCACGAGGCTGCTGCAGGGCGCGAAGCACGGAAACGCCGATGAGTTGAGCCCAGTCCGGGCCACACGTGAAATAATTCATTAAGATGAAGACCTCTCCCCTGCTGCTGCTCAGAAAACACACCGTGAGCATTATTTTCTGCTCTCCTGTTCTCGATGTGCCCAAGGACACCTATTGCAAGCCAGGGAGCTCACGAGTGCAGCTTTGGAGTCACAAACACAGTGGGAAATCCCGTACGTTCCCGTAACTTCTTCCCCTTTCTGCAAAAGTCAAATAATTTACGTCTGCTGGGATGAAGATTTGGGGATCAGCTGGGTAACAGCAGCCCCGGTGCCTGGAACGGCGACGCACGCAGCACCGTGGGCACCCAAATGAGATTAGGGCAGTAATGCCTTTAATTAGAGGCGATTGACTTCCCCCTGGTGCTGTTTCATAACTTTTTATAAAAGGCTGTGCAGAAAAACAAGATTTAGGTTTACTTCTCAGCTCGGCTGTAGCAGAAGCCCCAGCTGGAGGGGCTTCATCCTTCCTTGTCTCCGCGATGTCAGTGCTGTCGGTGTCGCCAGATCCTCAGCTGAGCATCAGCAGGGCTGAACATCACCAAATTTAGGCTCAGACCCAATTTTTGCTGGTTTGGGACACCGGCTGAGGTGCCTCCTTTATCCCCCCCTGGGTGTTTTGTCACCGGATAACAGCACCCAAAATGCTCACGGCGTTCTCTTGGAAATAACACGATTTATATTAAAAAGCTGCTTGGCTCTCTGGAGTGCCAACCCCAGTTCAGAAGCTTCCATTAATCAACTTGTGGGTAATTTGGGGTGAAATCTGGGAGATTGACCATCCTACCAGTTACTGGGGTGTTTCCAGATTTCAGGCACTAGGAATCCTTTAATTTCTGTCGTGTGGATTTGGCAGGAAAGCCAGGGCAATATTTACTGTTCTGTACCCGTGTGCTCTCACACTGCACCACCACTATTAGTCTAATTAGTCTAATTAGTCTAATTATCACAGTGATGCTCCTGTATCACACGTATTTAGCAGTAAAGACCCGTCTGCATCTGAAAATCCGGCTGCCATCTAGGCAAGCTCTTTCTTTATAAAAATTGCTTGCACAAAACTTGCACAAAACTTGCTTTCAGCCCCAAAACGCCGCGCTCTGATTTTAAAGCCCCCCCCCGCCGCACAGATTAGCCGTCTTCAAGGAAGCAATCCTCCTTTAACTAATTAATCCTGCCGGAGCCCTCGATGTAAGAGCTGGCTGTTACAGAATTCATTTTTTTTGTTAACAATCCCATTTTCCAGCCCTTTGGGAGCTGCCGGGGGGCAGCTCGAGGAGCCCGTGGCCATCCCCGGGGCGGGCTCGCCGTTTGGGGGCAGGCAGAGAAATTCCAGCAATGTGTAATTCTTCCCGGTAAGCAGATCAGACCCAGGCAGGGCTCGGGGAGCCTGGCACGCCGACAGTGGCAGCATTAAGCTCGTGCCTGGTGGTCCTTGGGGTTTTTTCCACCCTCCAGGACCAAACACGGTCAGCTCCTGGGTGCTGCCGGCACGACGAACCCACGGCCGGGCTGGTGGATGAGTTTCAAGCCTTGCTTTGGATCTTCTGCCCTGCAGACACCAGCAAAGCCACCAGGAGCTGGCAGTGCACACCTTCACGTGGTTTTTATCATTATAGATATTTATCCAGAGGTCTGGGTGCCTCCGTAAAGCTGCTGGTGGGCAATGGTAGGGCCATGGGCTCAGGCACGGTGGTCGCCTCTTGGCACGATGCAAGAAGCTCTCGCCCTGGTGCCACCCTCTTCCTCTGGCAGAATTTAAGCACGGAATCGGGATGGAAAGTGGGAAATGCACATCGTTTGCCAGCAGTGCGTGATAATTTGGGGAGCTCTTTTTTTTAAAAGTGGTCGGAAAGCACACGGGGATGGTGCATCTGCTCCAACGAGTTTCAGCTCCAAAAGGAGCTAAACGAAATGATTCTACAAGAAAGAAACTCCTCGGATGGAGTTTGTTCTACCAGTGGCACGAGCTCCCCTGCAGGTTTTTTCACGAGGCTTGGGGACAGTCCCCTGGGGACACTAGGGACAAACAGTCCCTTTGGCTGGATAACTCAAAGCACAAGTTCCTCTCCAGGCAGATGAAGGCTGCAGCTGGACCCCCTGCCCCTTTTTCCTCCTTTTCATCAGGTTCAACGAGCCCACCTCCGTGTGGCCACTTTGGGTGGTTTTGGATTCGGTAAGGATCGTCCTGCGAATTTCACGGCTTCTTTTTTCTGCAAAAATTGATTCCAGGGACGAGGAATGCCACCCTGGCTGACCGATAATTAGGGAGCAGCCTCTGCCGTGCCGTCATCCAAAATGCAGCAGGGTCTGGCACCCGAAATTCCACCTCTTGGCGGTTTGGGAAGTGCTTAAAACATCCGTAGGCATGGATGGTGGCTGTCTTAGAGCCAGGAGGGGATAACAAAAGGAAGTCACTGGAGGTAAAGGCTGAGTGGGGAGAAATAAATGGGCGTTAGAAGAAGAAGGGGGGATCCCAGGAGAGGCTGGAGGGAGCTGGGACATCCCCATGGAGAAGCACATCCACGGATGGGTGCAGCTGGAGGTACCGTGGTTTTTTAGGGAGCATCTTCAGCCTCTGACCTCCCCCCTTGTCTTCCTCCAGCTGCCTCCTACACGGACAGCTCGGACGACGAGACCTCCCCCCGCGACAAGCAGCAGAAGAACTCCAAAGGCAGCAGCGATTTCTGCGTGAAAAACATCAAGCAGGCGGAGTTCGGGCGCCGGGAGATCGAAATTGCTGAGCAAGGTAAAGGGGACGGGCACTTCCACAGGCTCCTGGCTCTCTTGGGCTGCCTCGTGCAGCTTTTCCTTCCCCCAAACCCTTGTCTTGAAAGGTTTGGTTATTTCCTGACACCATTCCTGTTTGAGGGACAGAACTTTTATGGGATTTTGTGGAGTTACGTGGCATAACCACGGTATTCCTACCAGCCAATTATTGGAGGACTACAATCCAGGGTATTTTGTTAAAAGCAGTGGAAAAGATGAAACCCATCATATCAATTATCCAGCAGGTGATTTTATTTTATCATGGTCATCTCCAAAACTCTGTCCCAGGGGCAGTGCAGCTCTCAGATGGCTGCAGGGTCCTCCTCTGTCTGAAGCTGGTTTTCCTCCGGCCTCGCTCGGCGTTTGCAGGTTGAACTTTGGAAAATATGATTATCCTGCATCCTAAATAGCTGGAAAAACAAACCTCACAGGGTGTTGGATTCTTTTCAGCTGTGTCATCGCTGCTTCGGTGCCTCCGTTCAAGTCTTTTGCTCTTTTTGAAGCTGACGCAGCCGTAAGAGCCCTGGAGATCTGGGCTGGAAGTGCTGCTGGCAGTTTCTTACGTGCTCGCCCGCCTGTGCTTTGGGTTGATGGACCTCTTGTCATTTTTTGCCTTTCAGAAATGCCTGCGCTGATGGCTTTGAGGAAGAGAGCTCAGGGAGAGAAGCCGCTGGCTGGGGCCAAGATCGTGGGCTGCACGCACATCACAGCACAGACGGCCGTAAGATCCCCTCGAAAAGCTCTGATCTTTTTTTCCCCCCTGATGTTTCAGTGTGGGACTATTTAAATGCCATAGCAGGGGGCTGCTACGTGCTGTGACTGCCTGTTCCAGCTGAGAGGCTGGAGACTGCTCGTGCCCTGCAGCCCGATCCTCCCTCTGCCTAGTTCTGGGCAAAGACAGCCCTCTGCCAGCAGGGTTTTTAGGCAGGAATTCCTCACTTTTTGTCCTCTAAAACAGACCCCAGGAGGATAATACGGAGGTGTGGTCTCTGAGTCAGCAGAACAGTGCCTTACACCGAGTGAGAACGGTCAATTTTGGGGCTGTTTCTGGATAAACAGAGCCTGTCCTTAAAGGTGGTGCAATGCGTGAATCGATGAGGCTCTGCTGCGAGTAAAGATCACTAAGAAAATCAAATTATCTTCATCATGTACGCAGGACAAAATGGCAATTAGTAATTAGTGCAGTTTTGCAACTCAAGACCCGTGGTTTTTCCTCCAAACGGGACAGGAGCGCTTTCTTCTGCCTGCCTTTGGGACTTTGCAGAGTGAAACCTAATAATACACGTTGAAGTTCTGATTTGCTTCATTCATTTTCAATCGTAGAACAAAGATTTGCAAAATTCACTTTCTGCGTAACTCTCCAACTGCTGCAGTGCTGCTTAAAGCAGCTGCAGGCACCCTCCAGAAATATTCCTAAGCAAAAATCAGGCGTGTGTGCTGCTGGAATCGAGGACGTGGCCACGTTACGGTTTGCCTTGCCTTTCTGATATTTTTTTTTTATTTTATTCCAGGTCCTGATGGAGACCCTGGGTGCGCTGGGTGCCCAGTGCCGATGGGCTGCCTGCAACATTTACTCCACTCTCAACGAAGTGGCTGCTGCCCTCGCCGAGAGCGGTAGGGAGCCTCACCTGCTTCGTTCATTCTGGTTTTAAAAAGGTTTCTTACTATCCCATCATGTTTAGTTCATTTACAGTCTCTTACAGTTTTTTTTTCCCCTCTTTTAAATTGTTTTCTCGTTAGAATAACACCAGGGGAGAGTGAAATCTCCCCGGTGTGTTTCTCTCCATCCGTGAGAGCACGGTGAGTGCGGTTCCTGGTAAGCTGCACACATCAGCCCGTAATGGTTCACCAGGAGTGCTGCAGATTTCTGTTTTCTAAGCTTACCAGTGTAAACTGCCAGCTGGAATGAGTCTGATGGAGTGGGAAACTTATAGAGCTGAGCAAAGCAGGGATATATCAGGCTGCAGACTATAGCAATCTGGAGAAGGAATGGCTTTAATCACAGAGATTTGCTTTTTTCCCCTATTAAAGCAGGGAAAGGAGCTATAAGCAAGACAAGATCGATCCCTCCCACTGGTCCAAACACCTCAGCCAGTGTCTCTGGAGTACAAAAGGAGGTAGTACAGGTGATGATGATGATGATGATGATGCACGATATCAGCCCTCAGAGCTACGTGAGCCTAAAAGTTACTTTGCTAAGAGAAATCGTGCTCGATTTCAGCTCTACGAAGACAGGGAATTCTTACATTTGAGTCACAACTTTGGCTAAAAGGGGCGAGAGAGGACTTTCTGGGGACACAAAGCAGAAGCAGCTGACGCTGCTGCTCCCCTGGGAGATGCCTCAGCTCAAATCCTGTTCCACCTGGGTAGGGCTGTGGGAGCCAGGACACCCGGAGGAAGCCACGTAGCATCTTGCCTCTTACTAGGTCTCCCTAAAACAGAAATTGTTCATGGGCCAGAATGAGCTTGAATAATTTCCTAAGCTTTTAGGAAGGGGAAAGCTGCCTCCTGGCTCCCTGGGATGTGCTCAGGTTGAGGTGGTAGCACCCATCTCTCTCTATCTGTGTGCAGGGTTCCCTGTCTTTGCCTGGAAAGGAGAATCCGAGGACGACTTCTGGTGGTGCATCGATCGCTGCGTCAACGTGGAGGGCTGGCAGCCCAACATGGTGAGAGCTGGCTGGGATCTGGAGGGCTCTGAGGAGGGCTCAGTGCTGCTCCGCGTTGCCTCTTGAATTTAGACCCAATTCCCTGGTGCTAAGGCAGCAATTAGCCCCAGAGGGCGTTACAATTAAACGATCTGTGCGATCAGACCTGCTGCTGCAGCTGCAGGCATGGGTGGTGCTGCCCAGTGAAGTTTTATTGGACTGTTTCCTAAATAAGCACAAATATATTTGTTGTAGGGCGTTTAGTTTGGTTTCAGGGGACTGGAATTTGTGGGATTTCTGCACCTTGCTCTTACTGCACGGACACAAACATCCCTGCTTCATCCTGCCCTCGTTTCTGGGGAGAAGGGAGAACCTTGAGCTAGGTGAGCCGAATAATTTCCAGCAGCCAGGTCGCTGCTTTCATCCCCACAGGCTTTTAGCCCTGTAGCTTGTGATCTACTTCAGTCAAACAGTAATTAAAAGAGGGAGATAAGCACATTTTGCATTGTTTTTTGGCTCCTTTGAGGTGTTTTTGTCCCTCCCAGTCTTGTGCTGTTCACTTCTGGGCTGCCACTGTGAAAAAGAAGCTGAAAAAGAAGCGTGAGCATCAGTCCACCCCCAAGCTAGGAGTCTAGACGTGGCACTGCCTTTTTCTTCTTTTTTGGGGGATAATTTCCCATCAGAAGTGTCAGCAGCTGACAAAGGAAACCTTCCACGATGTGCTTCTGGCACGCTTGCTTTCCTAGCATCTGCTCAGAGCTCTCGGCTCTGCACCGTGTCTCCAGCACTCGGTGTTTCCTGACCTGTTTCTGCACAAAAAAAAACTGCTGGGGGGCACCCAGGGTCCTGGGTTTAGAGCTGCTGGCAGCTTCTCTGAAGGCACATTGTGTTTCCCAGTCCAAAAACCTCAATATTTGATGTTTGGGCTCCTGCAAGGTCCACGAGAAGAACTAAAGTCCCAACACCACCTCCAAAGAAAGACCCTCTGAGTTTTCTGATGATCAGTCTGAACAGAAATGGCTCTTTTTTTTCCTTTTTTCACTGAAAAATATCAAATCTGTAGGGCTGAGGGCTTGGTTTAGCATCAGCTGAGCTGGGAACAGGCTGCTGCCCCCGACCATGCGGCCCTGCCATCTTTCAGCCCTAATTCTCTGTTGTTTTCAGCCCTGTGGTCGAGCTGATCCTGGCTAATTTTAATCAGCTTGGTTTTTGGGGGGGGATCAGCTGCACGGAATCCATGGCTGTGATGACAAGGCTGGGAAGGGGACAGAAATAAAATATCCTTCACCCCTCAAACAAATAAAGGTTTTTTTCCCAGAAAAACAGGTGCTTGGGGAAAATTAAGGTGAAAACAGGGAGCCTGGGTGAAGCTGAGGAAGGTGCAGGAGAAACCCCCGGCGCCCACGATTCCCTGAGAGTTTTGGAAAGAGGATGATGCGCCCTGTTAAATGGGGATTCATGAAATGAAGTGCCTCCACTTCATCCTCCTGCCTCCACCGTGACGAGGAACGATTCGGGCTCGCGATTTATCCCGTGTGCCTTTTTGGGGTCAGCAATCCTTCTGGCTCTTCGGGGCGGTGACTTTGTGTTTGCCTTCCTTGCAGATCCTGGATGACGGAGGCGACCTCACGCACTGGATTTACAAGAAATACCCCAACATGTTCAAGAAGATCAAGGGCATCGTGGAGGAGAGCGTGACCGGCGTGCACAGGTAACGGGGCCAGGAGCACAGGGACGAGCAGACAAAGCCCCTACAGCCTCGGGGCACCAGGAACAAGGCCTCCAAAAATGTGGTCTGTGGCTTTCCTGCAGCGTGGGAGGTGACTTGCGAGCAGGGTTGGTCCGACCACGGGTGACAAAAAACAGGGGAGCGAGGAGAAGAGCAGCAGGATCTGCTTTTGGCTTTATTTTTGCCCTAAGTGGGGCTTGGCTGTGGCTGAGAGCTCGGAGAGAGGCGCAGGCAGCCCTCAAAAGAGGGGAATGAAATACCCGAAACGAGGAAGCGACCGATTTGGGTTTGTAGCCAGCGGGGTCAAGAAAAGGACCTGGAGACATTTTTAGCGCTGGGAATTATTCCTGATTTGGGTAAAAGAGGTGTGCAAGAGCAAAACCGTGTCAAAAATGGTTCCTTGCGTTCTCGTGCTGGGATCAGGGCTGAGTTCTGATGATGTGTGTGTGCACAGAGCGTGTGCCCTGCCTCTGGGGGAGCTTCTGGGTGTAGAACTGGGCGTAAAAATCACAGAATCAGGGAAACACAGAATCACAGAACGGTTTGGGTTGGAAGGGACCTCACAGCCCATCTTAATTCCAGCCCCTGCTGTGGGCACAACGCCTCCCACCAGCCCCAGCTGGCTCTCCTCCCCAAGGTCCGGAGCAGGGGGATGAATTTCAAGGATTTGGGAGTTTCATCCTTTCGAGGACATCAGAGGGAGCTCGTAACATCAGCATAAAAATGCCTCTGGAAGGAAGGATGCTCCCTCCTCCTGAGTTTAGGAAAGGGAAATTAGCAAAGGGAATTATTTTTCCACTGATTCTGTTTTTTTCCTATTTCTGGCAGGCTGTACCAGTTGTCTAAAGCCGGGAAGCTCTGCGTGCCAGCCATGAACGTCAACGACTCGGTCACGAAGCAGAAATTTGACAACCTGTACTGCTGCAGGGAGTCCATCCTGGACGGGTACGAGCTGCCCCAGCCCACGGGGTTGGGATGGGGACGATGAATCCTGGGGGCTGCTCCTGAGAATTTATCCCGTGCCCGTAGCCCCGATGCAATTCTGGGGTTGTGTCCTTCAGCTGGGCGAAATGAGGAGGTGCAGAAGGTGGGACCGACAGGGCTGGCGAAGGTTTTTTCCTCCTCTCCCACCCGGCTCCTTCTAAGGAGTGTTCTGAGGCTGCTGCTCTTGAGATGCAGCGCAAAATTCTTGAAGTTGTGAGCTAGGGAGGGTGTAAATCGCAGTGTAAATCCCCACTTTCCTTCTCTTTTTCTGTATTTTTATGGAATTGAGTGTCCCTACCCCCAATGCCAAAGCCAGGTGAGGTTAGGACTGGTGTTATCCCTGCAGTTTGGACGGGTGGACTATTTTTTTTTTTGGATCCAGTGCTCCCAGCAGCCAGGTAAGCCCAGCAGCTAGGACAAAATTGACTTTGCAGCCCCGTGCTGCTGCTGGGGTGGAGAAAAGCTCGCTGCTCCGTGCCAGGAAGCTGCAGTACAGCGAAAGAACCCTCGGGGAGGTGTTCTCCATGAAGGCTGCCTCTTTCAAGAGACAAATTTCTTCGTGTTGATAACTCGGCGTGGTTTAAATGACCTGCCTGCAGTCACTGGCTCCTTGCTGAAGTCAGAATCTCTCCTCCTGCTCTGTTCATCACAAAACCCACTCCACCACCTCTTATCTTACACTGACAATAATTTACGGGGTATTTAGTGGAGAGCCTCATCCAGCATCTCAGCCTAGGAGCTGGTTTCCTGGTCGTGGTCATCCTGAGCAGGAGGTTCAGGATTTTTTTTTAAGGTTGAAATCCTTAAATCAGCTTCTTCATCGTGTTGGCTTCGGTTCGGGTGGGCGCTGGGCTCCCTGGGGAGGAAGGTTGGGATTTGGGGTGCTCCTTGGCACCTGAACGGGGCCAAGGGAGAGCTGAGCACGGGCCCCATTAAATCTGCCGGGGTCGTCGCCTAAATTCTCCTGGAAGAGGAAGGGAATTTCACCTTCCCTGCACTGCTAACCTATTTCTGTCTGCTAAAAATAGCCCGCGATGTAGGGCACTCTTCGGGGGGAACCGGGAGGAAACGGAGTGGAAGGGAGAGCTTTATTTATAGCGAGCTCTGCGATTCTGGCCATAAATTACCGCTCGGCTGCTCCTCCTCTAGCTGTTCCTGCGAGGTGCTTTGGCTCTGAGAAAATGGAGAAAAAAAAATAAAGTGTTTCTGGAAAGATTTTAGAGATTTCCGGAGCATCGCCGAACCCAAGCCCCAAATCCTTCCTCCTGGTGTCAGGTCCCTTCCCTGCACCCAAATCTCAGAGGGACCTCGCTGGTCTTACTGTAGCAGGTCTTACTGCTTTTAACTTTTTCAGGGGTTTTTAACTGCTTTTTCCTTTTTCCCCAGCCTTAAGAGGACAACAGACATGATGTTTGGAGGGAAGCAGGTCGTGGTGTGTGGCTACGGGGAGGTAAGGGCTTCGCGCACACCGCGGGGCTCTGCTGTCCCCTGGGGCTTCCCCCTGCTGGGAACAGCCCTGTCCTGGCAAAAAATGAAGGTTTTCATTCTGTGATATCCAGTCTTTGGTATTAAACATAGCAAATCTGAATTTTAAAGTTAAAAACCCTGAATATCTTGAATTACCAAGGCGCTCAGAGGCGGCGTTCTGCGGGCGCGCTGCGCAGCCGCAGCGTTGCGCACGGAAAGGTGCTCAAAAAAAAAAAAAGATAAATTAATCTTTTTAAATGAATTTACTGACGTGCTTTCACCCCCACGAGGAGGAATCCTCGCTGGAGGTGAAACTGGGAGATTCCCCCCGGGGAGTCCTTGCAGGGATCAGTTAACGCCAGTTCCGGGGGGGGGGCTCTTTTATCCAAAAAAAGCTGAAATTGGGCATTTTCCTCCCTTGGTTTGAAATGAGCCGTTGTGCATCGGGGAATTTTGTGCCTCCGGTGCTTTTGGTGTCTCACTTATTGCTCTTTTCCCCCCCCCCCAGGTAGGGAAGGGCTGCTGCGCGGCGCTGAAGGCCATGGGCTCCATCGTGTACGTCACCGAGATCGATCCCATCTGCGCCCTGCAGGCCTGGTAAGCGCTCACGCCGCACCCAGCTTCCTCTTTGGGCTCTTTTTTTTCAGGAAAAACGTAAAACCGTGCCCAGAAACCCCTCAGCCACGATGCTCCCCTGGCGGGGGGCTGCTGAGGGGCTTCTCAGCACACTCAGGGGGCTCTCAGCTCCCTCCTGCAGCCGGGAGAAGGCTCCTGCGCTCAGCATCACCCCATTTTTTTGGCATCCCGTGTGCCAACGTGCATCACTTTATCCCATGATGGAAGCATGAGCCTTGAGTAATTAGCAGCATTAATTAACTTGTGGATCAGCCTTTGTGTTTTGTGCCCCCCCTGAGTTTGCAGGAGCTCCACAGGGGCACCCGAGCCACATCCAGCACCCACAGCCCCCTTCCAAGGGTTTCCAAAGGTTTTCAAAGGGAGGACAGCAACCGGGACGTCCTGAGAGATCCAGCAGGAAAAAAAAGGAAAAAAAAAATAAAAAAACAACACTTTTTTTATAGTAACTGTGATTTTGCAGCTTGTGAGAGTCACGGAAATAAACTCCCGGGAGGACTGTCGAAAAAAAAAGTCCTAAAAAATCCTGCCCTGGTTATCAGCTGTGCTGAGCACACCTTTCTGGGTGAAGTTTGGGCTGACTTGCTGAGTGCTCAGCACTTCTGAAAATCACATTGGTGCCTAAATGGAGATTTGTGAAGTTAATGAGAGACATCCGTGGGTTTGGGGCGGCTCATTTTTATTTTGTACAAGGATCTAAATCCGTATCAGGAAGGATTCTGCAGCAGGAGGGTTTATCTGCACACTCTGGATGTGCTTTGCAGGAGCAGCAGCTCTAAAAAAAAAATGTCTCAAGCCAAAATTAAGATTTTTGGATGCAGAGGCCTTGGGAGAAAACGTGAAATGCCCCAAAACACTTTTCAGATGTCACTTCTTGCACAACAGACCCCAATTCCAGAAGCAATCCCGATAGCTTGGGGTACGTGCGTTGCTGTTTGCAGCCCCTGGCATCGGTTCCAACAAGTATCTGGGAGTCCCTTGAGTTGTTTTTTTGTTTTTTTTTTTCTATTTTTGGCTCATTTTTGCTGCTTCTCACACCCGGTGTTTTTTCCTCTCCCAGCATGGACGGGTTCCGGCTCGTGAAACTCAACGAAGTCATCAGGCAGGTCGACATCGTCATCACCTGCACGGGTACGCGGTGCCGGGGGCGGGCGGGTCCCCGAATTTTGGGTCCATTTTCCAAAGGAAAGGGCAAAAATGTGGGAAAAGCCACGGGGGACGTGCCCCTGCCCGTGGCAGTACGGGAACGGGCTCCTCACGTCGCTCCTGCTTTTGAATTTCATATTTATTGTCAATATTGCAATTTATCGTTGATAGTGCCATTTATTACTGATAGTGCCATTTTTATTGATATTGTCATTTATTATTGATATTGTCATTTCTGACCAATACTGCCATTTGTTACTGATATTGCCATTTCTGACTGATATTGCCATTTATTACCAATATTGCCATTTTTCATGGATTTTGCCATTTCTGACCAATATTGTAATTTCTGACCAATATTGCCATTTTTTACCGATACTGCCATTTCTGACCAATATTGCCATTTCTGACCAATATTGCCATTTATCATGGATTTTGCCATTTCTGACCAATATTGCCCTTTATTACCAATATTGCCATTTGTTACCAATACTGCCATTTCTGGCTGATATTGCCATTTATTACAAATATTGCGATACTGCCATTTCTGACCAATATTGCCATTTCTGACCAATATTGACATTTATTTCCAATATTGCCATTTCTGACTGATATTGCCATTTATTAGCAATATTGCCATTTTTCATGAATTTTGCCATTTCTGACCAATATTGTCATTTATTACCAGTATTGCCATTTCTGACCAATATTGCCATTTCTGACTGATACTGCCATTTATTGCCGATATTGCCCTTTATCATGGATTTTGCCATTTCTGGCCGATATTGCCATTTATTACCAATATTGCCATTTATGACTGATATTGCCATTTATCATGGATTTTGCCATTTCTGACCAATATTGTCATTTATTACCAATATTGCCATTTATTACCAGTATTGCCATTTATTACCAATATTGCCATTTCTGACTGATATTGCCATTTCTGACCAATATTGCCATTTCTGACTGATACTGCCATTTATTACCGATATTGCCATTTATCACCGATATTGCCATTTATCATGGATTTTGCCATTTCTGACCAATATTGCCATTTATTACCAATATTGTGATACTGCCATTTCTGACCAATACTGCCATTTCTGACCAATATTGTCATTTTTGACCAATACTGCTGTTTCAAACCGATACTGCCATTTCTTACCAATATTGCCATTTCTGACCAATATTGCCATTTCTAACCGATATCACCATTTCTGACTGATATCACCGTTTCTTCCCAATATTGCCATTTCTGACCGACGCCGCTGCCTCGCAGGCAACAAGAACGTGGTGACCAGGGAGCACCTGGACCGCATGAAGAACAGCTGCATCGTCTGCAACATGGGGCACTCCAACACCGAGATCGACGTGGTGAGTGCGGGGCGAGGCTGCTGCTTTCGGGGCCCTCTGACCCCACTGCCTGACCCCTTTAGCACCCCAAAAGGAGCTGAAACAATCCCACAGCAGCCTCATCCCTTCCCCTTGAGAGGCGGTGGATCCCCGTCTCCATCCAGTGCCTCTCCTTCTGTGCTGCACCAAAATCTGCTCATCTGTGCTTAGAATGGGGCAGAAAACCAGGGGAGCCTTGTCTTGCTTTGCCAAAACTCCACGTTTTAGGCCATTTTCTGTGCAGCATTCTTCCCACCTTGCTGGGAAGAAGTGACCGTGGCCGTGCGTGGTTCAGCTGGTGACCCTAAATCCTTCTCAGCCAGAAGAGCTCAAAAAAAAAAACGTTGTCATTTGGAGCACCCTAACCATAAAAAAATAAATAAAAAAAAAGCATTTTCAGGTTATGATTCATAAAGGTTTCATCGGGCTGGGCCCAAAGGAAACTCTCATAATGTCAGCGAGTTGCTTCCTCTTTTCCTTCCCCTTCTGTAGCTTCTCTTTTCTGCTCCCTGCCCTGGGTTTAACTGTTCTAACGCCGTGTTTTAGGCGAGCCTGCGCACACCCGAGCTGACCTGGGAGAGGGTGAGGTCCCAGGTGGACCACGTCATCTGGCCAGACGGGAAAAGAATCGTCCTGCTGGCGGAGGTGAGTGGCACGCGGAGGGACTGCAGCCTGCTCTCTGCCTGGGGAGGGAGAAAAGCAGGGCTGGGACCAAAAGGCTTCCAAAAATCACCTCCTGGGGCTCAGCACCCTGCTAGAAAGGGTTGGTTTCACCCTGATTTGGCTGAGGGTGCAGAAAAGCTCCTCTATTTTTCCATATTTTTCCCCAGCAGCATCCTCCCCAGGGTTTTTCATCTCATTTTCCCTTCTGGGTCGTTTTACCGAATTCCAGGGACAATCAATCCCTTGGGATTCGAGCACACGGATAAACGTTGCTTCATCCCAAAAGGGAGCCACTTCACCTTCTGTACGGAGGGCTGCAGGCACCAGGCACGGATAACAGCAGGTTTTTGGTTTTTCCTCCCCAGGGCCGCCTGCTGAACCTGAGCTGCTCCACCGTCCCCACCTTCGTGCTCTCCATCACTGCCACCACGCAGGTGAGCGGGGTTCTGGCCGCGGCTCGCTCCGTGCCGGGCTGTTTTTGCTCACCAAAAAGTTTTCTCCCCGCAGGCTCTGGCTTTGATAGAGCTCTACAACGCTCCCGAGGGGCGCTACAAGCAGGACGTCTACTTGCTGCCTAAAAAGATGGGTAAAGCTCCCTTCCTCTTTCATTTCTTCTTCCAAACGAGACCGAACCTGGGTCCTGGCTCTTTTTGGGGCTGGACGCGTTGTTTCCCTGCCCCACCTGGGGGGAAGCAGGCTGCCACATTTGGCTCACTCCCAGTGCTGATTCAGGAGATTTTCGGGCAGGTTTTCTGCCCGTGGAGCTCCGTGAGGACACGTGGTCCCTGCCAGCAGCTCTGCCAGCAGGACCCTACTGAACACACAGCTATACAAACCACGCTTTTGCTGCAGAACCGGTCTTTTTTTGGCTTAATTGTGTTTTTTTGGGTAGAAATTAGGTGTCTCCTGCCTCGGTAGGGCATCCAAGGCAGTGGGAAACCCTGCTGTGTCCACCCTCACCACGGTACAGCTCGCGGGGAGCCACAGCTCTCGTTCCAAAATCAAACCCCAGCCTCACGGTAGCGCATCTGCTGCTTGCTCAGAGGCACCGGGGCTGACTTTGGGCACCTCAACTCGACTCCTCCAGTCCCAGATTTGAACGTGGCTGCCTCCCAAAACACAGCTCGGTGTGGCGCCAGCGCGCTCACCCCCTCAGTCTCCAAAAATCCCAGCACTGATAAGACACCGGGCTCTGTGCGGATAGCAGCGGGTTCTCTTTGCTGTGCCCAAGGTCAGGGGGAAAAGAGCAGGGAGCGAGCAGCTCGCCCGAAAGGTTTGGGGTTTATTCAGCAGGGCCGCGCTTTCCGCTCCCCCCCCCACTAATTTCCCAAGGCTTGAATTCGTTTCAGACGAATACGTGGCGAGCCTCCACCTCCCGACCTTCGACGCACACCTGACAGAGCTCACGGACGAGCAAGCCAAGTACCTGGGGCTGAACAAGAACGGGCCCTTCAAACCCAACTACTACAGGTGCCGCTCGCGCCGGCCGCAGCGAGCCCGCGGGGACCGGGTTGGGACCGCGGCGTCCGAACGAGGAGGGGGGGGACAATGGGATTAAAGGATTTCATCCCGTTTAATTTAAGGCCGTGGGCTTTCTGGTAAATCCCCTGACGGGACGGGGACGGCGTGATTTGAGCCGACACGAGGTGCTCATCAGGAGCTGAGCCCCTGGTGTCTGGCGGCAGCTGTCACCCGGCCGGGGCGAAGCTCAGCTCAGCTCAGCGCAGTGCCCGCGGCCAGCTCCGACAGCAGCTTTATTTATAAAGCCTGACGAGCTCGGGCTGGCACAGGGCAGAGTTTGAGCTCACCAGCAAGCCTGGGCTGGCCCACGGCAAAATAATCATTTTCGACCCGAGCCCCTTCTCCTTCCAGGCTCCAAATTCAGGGGGGGCTGTGGCCAACGAGGCCGCTCACGTTGTGCCCTGACAGCTTTGCACACACACACAAACCAGCCCTGGGGCTGGAGCCCTGATGTTTTGGGGCAGAAAAAGGCATTTTCTTGGCACAGCAGCAGGCGTTCAGGTCTGCAGTGCCCACCGAGGCACTCCGCTTCTTGGGGTTTCGTGCGTTTTGCCAGATCCCGAGCATTTTCCCTGCCCCGTGCTGTGTACAAACAAACCCTCAGTGCTGCGTCCTGCCTCGCCAGCAGCTCCCCACGGGATTTGCCTTTGCCCTGCTCCAGGGCCGTGCTGCAGCCCTGACCCCGTGGGCAGCAGCGGGTGGCACGGTGCCCGTGCCCCGTGTGCCGCGGGGCTGGGGCGTGCGCAACAGCTGCAGCCACAGAAACCCAAGCTGCCAGCACAGCGTCAGCTTTTCCAAAGCTCCCTGGCCTGAGGCTCGGGGCTGGGGGCGAGAGGAGATCTCCAGGTGCTGGCTCTCCTCTTTTTCCAGCCATAAAGGGGCCGTTGGGCTCCTGCTCCCCGTGGCTTCAGTTCTGGTGGGGATTTTCTCCCTGCAGCTCCCAGCCGGAGAGCCTCGGAGCTCCCAGTGCCTCTCTCTGTGTTTTTTTTTTGGTAACCTCAGCTGCTTTGAGCAAGGCTCGGGTGCTGAAGGCGTTTGCACCTTCCGTGCATCTCCCCCGCTTCCTGAGCTGGTCCCATCACAAACCCGTGGCCCTCGGGTCCCCATCAATCCATCACCGCTGAATTTTCTCTTCCTGCACCCGGCAGCGAGGGCAGGCGGCTAAATATAACGCGGTATTTGTGGGGGAGGAGGAGAGGACCGGGTCCCTTCCTACATCACTTTTTTTTCTCGGTGTCCACCCCCCTAAAACACATTTTTTTTTGCTGTGGGGGGACGTGCCACGGGGTTTGCGCAGCGCCGGGCTAAAACCTCGCTTTCTCTTCCCTTCCCCAGGTATTAAAGTTCCTGCCGCCGTAGCCAGAATCGCAAGGAACAAGAACCCAAGTTCTTTTCTCAACTACTGTACAGGACGAAGCAGTGCAAGCTTCCTAAGTTAGAGCCGGGCTTGCTCACGTAGTAGACAGTGTGTTAGGTTATTTATTTATTAAATTAGAATACTGTACATGCGGCCTCTGCCACTGGTGTTTGTACTGCCACGGGACTGGGAGACGGTTGATTCCTTTCCGTTTTGTTTCATTTTTTATCTCTTTCGCTGGTTCCTTTCCGGGGCTGGGAGGATGGGGAGCGAGGTGCTGCGGGGCGAGGAAGAAGCTGAAAGGCGGAGGCTGCGCCCTGCTTCTGGTCCCGGCCGCTTCTTCCAGCAGAGCAGGATTCCCGGACTGGAGCAGGACAGGAGAGTGCTGGGGTTTTATCTCCCACGCTGTTTGAAACGCAGTGAAAAAAACGTTTCTGCTCCAAATGCTGCTGGTGGAGAAGCAGCGAACTGACCAGCAACCGCCGGGGAAACCGCTCCGAAATCTGCTCAGCTGCCCCCAGGACGGCTCTGCCAGCTGAACTTGGCCTTCGCTCTGCTGAAAGCTGTAAGGAAGGGTCCGAGCCCTGCCCCGAGGACGTGTCCGGAGCCGGTGGCAGAGCGGTGCCAGGTCCGGCAGCCCCCCCCGAAGCCGTGGAGGTGGTGGCGTTGGACCCAGCCCCGCTCCTCGCCGAGCCGCTCGGCGTTGTCCTGCTGCTTCCATTCCGAGTGCCAACCTTTTGCCGTGCAACCAAAGCTATTTTCCTCCTGGGGCCTTGCACCGCCACGGACGGATGCTGCTCGCGCTTCTCCCAAACGCAGCCCTCGCTGGGAATCTTTGGAGTCTGATTTTTTGGTAGGATTTGTCCATCACCGTGATCAATCAGGAGATCCCCTCCGCGTGGAGGAGATGTACTCCGGAATAATCCCCGCCCCGATCCTGTGCGCGGGGCAGAGGGTCACAAGCAGAGTTCAGAATCACGAAAACCCTTCGGTGGCATCAAATTTTGATGTCTCAGAGTCGAAAGACAGCAAATTTGGCACCGCTGCTTGCCTGAGCCCTGGATGTCCTGCCCTCACCGGCGTCGCTTACGGCTCGCCCTGAGAACGAGGCCCTTGTCAAGTGAATTCGCCAACCCTGGGAGCACAAAAGCCTTTCATTTTTCCTGTGGTTGCTGCTTCGGTGCCCGAGTTCCCCCTGAGATCCTCGTTTTGTCCTCGTGGGCTTGGTGAAGACCCCCCCGAGGCAGCTCGCTCACGCACAAGGAAGGCGAAGCCGCGGCACCGCGGTCCCTGCGGCCACGTCCTGGTGGCAAGACCTCGGGCAGCTTCTCCGCAAGGTGCTCACCTCCGGGGCAGGTTTCTCCTTCACTTTCTTATCCCAAATTTCTCCAAAATTTGTCAAAACGAGGGAAGTGAGGGATGCGTCGTGGAGCAGTCGCTAGCCACGAACTCAAAATTCTCTCTGCTCGCGACTCGCACCCAGATCCAAATTTCTGGGCAGGGCGCCCCGAGCCGCTGCAGATCTGGCTGGGTCTGGCTGGCACGGTGGCAGCCCACCCCACAGCCCAGGGGGGGGCTCTGCTGCTCCCCGTAACCCAAAAATCCCCCTCCCACCCAGCCTGGCGTGCCCGGGGTGCTCGTGATGCCTTCGCCTCGCGCGACGGCGGCGGCGAGGTTTTAATTCCCTCGGGAATTCCCCAAGGGAGCTCGCCCGCCGAGTCGCTCGTGCCGATTTTTTAAGCCCGATGTATCTTCCAGGTAGATAGGAGAAAATAAATAAATAATAATAATAAAAAAATTCGCCCCACCTGGCTTTTCCCCCAATTTTTTAAAGCTCTTCTCCACGTCGTTCCGCTTTCTGTAAGCTTTTTCGCTTGCTTGGCTTTTCCTAATCAATCTGGAATCTTATTCTGTGATCATCTCTAAATTAAACGTGTAACGGGTTTGGGTTTGGGTTTGTTTTTCTCTCTTTTTTTTTAATGTAACGCCTTTTTAAAGAATTAGGAAAAGGAGATTTTAGGTAACACCAGCAAAATCGTGTGAGGAAATTAATTCTGTTCTGACCTTAACCGCGAGACGAAACTGTCATCAGCCTGCAGTGGGGAAACGAGAACTTTGCAATCGTCCCATTTTCAAAAGGATGTTTTAAATATTAATGTCTGAGTGATTGTATTAGATCAGCAATAAAGACTCTGTAATCTCGAAACACAAATAAAACATTGGAAAAACGAGCTGCTCCGCGGCGTGTTTTCGGGGTGGCGGCGGCGGGCGGTGATTTCTGTCCCTCCTCCCGGTTTTGGGAGCAAGAAATGTCCCAAATCTGGGACGTGGGGGGGGTAAAGAGGGAGGGGGACGGGGCTGCTGCCCTTGGGGCTGTGTCCTTGGGGTGGCCGAGATGTTGTGGCCCCGGGGGTTGTTGTGGCTCCCGTGCTGGCCTTGCATGGGGCTGGTCCTGTTATCGCAGCTGCTCCCAGTATCACCAGTGCTCCCAGTATCGCTGCTGCTCCTGGTATCTCTGCTGCTCCTACACCCCCATAACCCCCCCATGCACCCTGGGGTGCCTCGTGGCTCCCAAGCACCCCAACAACCCCATAACCCCCCCATGCACTCTGACACCCCCCGTGGCCCCCAGCACCCTGGGGTGCCCCACACCCCACCCCAACACCCCCAGCACCCCAGGGTGCCCCAGACCCCTCCCTGCACCCCAACCTCCCCCCATAGCTCCCAGCACCCCAGGGTGCCCCAGACCCCCCCAGATTACCCCCTGCACCCCAACATCCCCCCATGCACCCTGGGGTGCCTCATCTGTCACCCATGCACCCCAACAACCCCATAACCCCCCCATTGCCCCCAGCACCCTGGGGTGCCCCCCACCCCACCCCAACACCCCCAGCACCCCAGGGTGCTCCAGACCCCCCCCCCTTCACCCCCTCCCCCCCATGACCCCCCAGCACCCCAGGGTGCCCCCATAGCCCCCCCTCACCCCAACCCCCCCCCCCCCATGGCCCCAGCACCCCAGGGTGCCCCCTGCCCCCCCCCCATTCACCACCCCACCCCTCTGCTATCCCCGCCCCCTTCCCCTTCTCCACCAATAGCGTTCCGGGGGTGTGTCCTCCGGCCCCGCCCCCGGGGCTGACAGACCAATAGGAGCGGGGGGGCGTGGCCCAGAGCCCGGCCCCCACGTGCTCGGTGGCGCTGTCCTGGGGGGGTGACACGGGGGGGGGGGGCGCAGCGCATGGAGGCGGCGGCGGCTCCGGGACCGGGACCGGGACCGGGTCCGGGGAGGGCTCGGCCGGGGCCCCCCCAGCCCCAGCCCCAGCGCCGGGAGCTCTTCAGGGGGCAGCGGAAAGAATCCGAGGTGAGGACCGAGGGGGGGGCACCCCGGGGTGGGGGGGACCCCAAAGTGGGGTCGGGCTGGGGGGGCCCCATTCGGGATTGGGGGGTGCGGATCGTGGATTTTTGGGGGCCGGAGGGGGCTGGGGGGGGGCTCGGTCCCGAGGGGGAGCCCCTAATGCAGCCCCCCCGGTGCTGGGGGGGGCTTTGGGGAACACGAAGCCCCCCAGGGGATCCCCAGGTGTAGGGCGCGGGGGGGACCCGGCCCCTGGGTGCCCACCGGGGGTCGGTGCCCAAGGGGGGGCTCCGGGCTTTTTGCCTTCCCCCCCCCACCCTCAGCTCCCGGAGCCGCCCGGCTTCCCAAATCCCCTCTCCCCGGCCGGGCTCCTCTGCCGGGCTGCAAAAAATGGGCAGAAATCGGAGCAAAAATTGGGCAGAAATCGGGGCAAAAAATTGGGCAGAAATCGGGGATTTGCGCTGCGCATCCCGAGGGACATCGGCGTTAATTAACGGGGACAATTAACGGGGGCAGCGCGCCCCGGTCCCAGCCTGGCTGCCAGGGACGCGGGAGGGGAACTGATGGTAAAGGCGTTTATTTCACGTTTTTTTATTAATTTTTATCGTTTTTAGTATTATTTATTTCCCGTGTGTTGCCCAGCCGCGTGTCCGCCCCACCGCGCCTCCTCCGCCGGGTTTCACGCTCCAATTCCTCGGGAGCCGCTGGGGGGCTGGGGTCTGCAGCCCCCCCCCCCCCTTCACCCCCCAACCCGGGCACCCCAAAATCTGGGGTGGGGATGGGGAGGGCGCGGGGTCTGCGTCCCCCATGGGTGCCCTGGCTCCAAACCGGCCCCGGTTTTTAAGCCATGGGGGGGGAGAGAGCACAGGGGGGGGGCTCTGAACGCAGCAAACGCTCCCCGGGGTGGGGGGGGTGGGGGGGGTCCAGCCCGGGTCCTGCCCAGGCTTTGTCGCGGTGCTGCTGGGGCCGGGGAGCGCTATTTTTACACGCACCTCCCCAAATCTGCCCCGTGCCAAAACGGCCCGGCCAAGCCCTGGGGACCTGTGCTGAGATTTTCGATGCACGAATCCCCCCCTGCGGGCACAAACCCAGCCAGGGGGGCTCCCCAGCAGCCCCCCCCACCCCCCCCACCCGGGACGTGGGAGCCCCCCGCGCCCACCGCTCGCCCCCGCTGCTCTCCGCAGGGCTCCTTGGACTGCCCCAACCTGGAGTTTGGATATGGGGACGCCGACGGCCACGGCGCGGAGCTGTCAGGTGGGAGCCAGGGGGGGTGTTTTGGGGGGCATTGCTCCCACGGGTGTCCTTGTGGGATCGGAGGTGGTTATGGGGTAGCATCGTGCTGGTGTTAACAGAGCACGAGGTTTTTATGAACACCCTATGTCCCCATCCCACATCTCCCTGCGGGGCAGTGAGTTGAGCTGCTTCCACCCCAAAACTGCCGGGGTCCCCCCCCTGGAGCTGCTGTAGGATTTGCACAGGGCTGGAGGAATTATATAGGACCGGGCACAGCGCCGTGTCCCTCCGGGTGCAGCCCCACAGCCTCCGAGCAGCTCAGCGTGAAATCAGCGCAGGTTCTGCCTGGCTGCACGGGTGCTTCTGCAGCCCCTCCCTTTGCAAATTGAACGGGGACAGAAATTTACCCCAAAAAAACCCTACAGTGCTGCAGAGGCAGCGGGGCAGGGGCGTGGGAATGGCCCAGGGGTGAGGAAGAGGAGGGAGGGGGAAAATCCCCGGGGAACAGAAACCGGAGCTGCGAATTAGGGCTGGAAATGCTGAATTTGGTAACGTCGGGTGGGTACCAGGTGCCTGCTGGAGCTACAAATGGACCAGGGACAAGTTGAGGGCTCTGCCCCATTTCCTTGGGCACGTGGGGACATCTCAGAGCCCCATGAGGAATTTAATTTGGGGGTGAGGAGGAGGGGGAAGCCCCCGCCTCACTGCCGACCCCTTTGTCCATCAGAGCTGTACAGCTACACCGAGGAGCCCGAGTTCGGCACCAACCGGAGATGCTTCGAGGAGGATTTTCACACCCAAGGTACCGGCTCCGGGTTCAACACCCGGTGGCGTGGGGCTGCCCCAATGCAGCCGGCACCCACCCGGTGGCCGTGGTCGTGGTCGTGTCCCCTTCGCAGTGCGGGGCCGGCGGTGGCTGGAGCTGGACGGGGCGCAGCAGAAAGCCTACGTCATGCACCTCCTGGATGGGCTGGAGGTGGTCAACAGGGACAAGAGGCTGAAGGTGGCGCGGGCCATCCTGTACCTGGCGCAGGGTAAGGACCGCATCCGGATGCGGCCGCGCACCCCCTGCCTGGCTCTGATGGGTGGTTTGGGAGAAATGGCATCTCGGGGAGGCGATCCTGTGCCAGCTCGGTGCAGCAAAGCTCCTTCCAGGATGGCCCCGGGGCCTCCAAGGCAGCTCCCTCCTAACCACTGCCTCCCTCGGGGCCTCTCCAGGCGTGTTTGGAGACTGCGCTAACGAAGGCGATGTCCTGCGGTGGTCGCGGCACAACAGCTTCCTCCTGTACCAGCTGGGAACCTTCACCGCCTTCCTGGAGCTGCTCAACATGGAGATCGAGTGAGAGGACCTGCGCTGCCTTCATCCTCCTCTTCTCCCCATCCTCCTCCTCCTCCTCTTCCCCCTTCTTCCTCCTCCTCCTCCTCGCCGCGGACCTGTAGCCGTGGCACAGCCCCGAGCGCTGCGTCTCCACCTCCAGGGCTGTGGGATGGGATTGGGGCTGGGATTGGGGTTAGGATTGGGATTGGGGTTGGGATTGGGGTTGGGATTGGGATTGGGATTGGGGTTGGGGTGAGGATCAGCCCGTGCCTGGTGCTGAGCTCGTCCCTTCCCTACCCTGCAGCAACAGCCAGGCCTGCAGCAGCGCCCTGCGGAAGCCGGCCATCTCGCTGGCCGACAGCACCGAGCTCAGGTATCCCCCCCTCTGCCCCCTGCCCGCCGTGCTGCTGGCACCAGGGGGTGGCTGTGGGGACGATCTTTGGGGCCCCGGTGTCACCGCCGTGCTGTCCCGGCAGGGTGCTGCTCAGCGTCATGTACCTGATGGTGGAGAACATCCGCGTGGAGCAGGAGTTGGATCCCCCGGAGTGGAAAACCTGCCGGGAGACCTTCAGGATGGAGCTGGGTGAGCCTCAGGGGTCATCGAGGCACCATCGGGGTCCTTTTGCTGCCCCAGCTCCGTGGGGAGACCTCGGATTTGGGGCTCTAAACCCGCCCCCGGTCCCTCTCCCTGCCAGGGTTCCCCGTGCGCCCCGAGGAGCCGTTTGCTCTTCTGCTCTTCACGATGGTGACCAAGTTCTGCAGTGGCCACGCTCCCCACTTCCCCATGAAGAAGGTGCTGCTCCTGCTCTGGAAGGTGCTTCTGGTGCGTGAAAATCCTTCCTTTCCCAGAACCTGATAATTTTGGGGGTGACACCATGAGGCCCAAGTATCCCCCACTGCTCAGTCCAAAGAGCCGCATGGCACAGGAGGGACCCCCTCGGGAGGGACCCCCCCTGCCCTTTGACCGCTCCATCACCTCTCTTGTCGTCTCCTAGTTCACGCTGGGAGGATTTGAAGCCCTGCAGGCGATGAAGGTGAGGAAGAGAGAGGAGCTGGGGCTGCCGCCCCTGCCGGAGGACAGCATCCAGGTGATGCGCAGCATGCGCGCTGCCTCGCCTCCCACCTACTGCATCGAGCTCCTGGAGCAGCAGCAGCAGAAGCGCGGGCACCGGAGCCGGCGGGTGAGGGCGAGCGCATCCTCCCGGGACACGGATCGGGGTTTTTTTCATGCTCAGGGAGCCAGCCTGTGCTCGGGAGCAGGTTTTTTCCTTCCCCCTCCAAGTATTCATGCATTTCTCGGCTTGTAAAAGCTGCTGCAGATGAAAAATAAA